GAAAAATAATCAATATATTAAATGGATACGAGCACTTAAATATTTTTACAGGAATATTCACAACAGCAAAGATGTAGAATCAGCCTAATTGTTCATAAATGGAAGAATGGATAAAGAGAATATGTATATATAAACACTAGAATCCTATTCAGCCATAGAAAGAATGAAATTATGTCATTTACAACAACATGGACGGAATGTGAGGTCATTGTCTTAAGTGAAATGAACCAGACACTAAAAAATAAATATCACATGTTCTCACTTAAATGTGGAAGCTAACAATTTGAACACATGGAGGAAGAGAGAGGAAAACTAGATAAGAGAGACTGAGAAGGATAATAAGGAGGGAAAGGAGAGGATGAAGAAAAGTGAGTTAAAGGGTATGAATGTGCAGTAGGATAAATGGAGTAAATTCAATGTTTGCTAGCAGCATAGGATGACTGTACTTAATAAAAATGTCTTGCATTCTGGTGATGGACACTCTGAATACCCTGATGTGATCACTATGAATTACGTATGTGTAACAACATTTCTCATGCAATCCATCAATTTACACAAATTTTAAAAACCGCAATGTTTGTCAACCAGTGTGCCTATAAGATTATAAAATATACAGGACATGTGGTGATGAAGAGCCTGTTCTAAATATCTTTTTGTAAAGGAAACAAGAAAAATAAATACATTTTGGATATAATTGTGCCAAATATTTATTTCTTCACTGAGCCAGACACAACATGGGGATTATTTCTTTATCCAGTGTCTGTGGTGAAAGGCAATAAAATCTGAAAGTAGAGCGGACAACAGGCAGAGTTGGAAAAAATTAGTTTTACTTATCAGCTATGTTGGAGAACTTGTTTCAATCTAGGAATGACTATAGAAACTATTAAGAAACAAGGTATGAAGAAATTTGCACTTATGTTCATCAGAATACCTATTAAGTTGCACTATGATTATTCATTTGTCTGTTTTTCTCTACTTTAGAACAGGGAATAAGGGTCAAGCCTTTGTCATTTCTTCATTCCAGATCTCAGAAAGAAAAATCCTGATAGAGTAGTTGCTAAATAAATGTTTGTTGAATATTTACTGCATAAAGAGGAATAATACTGCAGTTAGTGCTGTGATGTAATGGTGCAGGTGGGTAGGAGGATAAGGCACGCAGCTAACAGGAAGTTGATTGAACATTAAAGACACCATTTTCCCAACTCCTGATCTTGCTAGGCTCACAGGTCTTGCCAAGTTAGTCATAGACATTACAACCGCCTTATGCCATTTTTCCTGTCAGTGACTTTTTTTGTTTTTTTTTTTTTTGAGATGGAATCCTGCTCCCGTCATGCAGCTGGAGTGCAGTGACTCGATCTTGGCTCACTGCAACCAATGCCTTGCGAGTTCAAGTGATTTATCTGCCTCAGCCTCCTGAGTATCTGGGATTGCAGGCATGCACCACCATGCCTGGCTAATTTTTTTTATTTTTAGTAAAGACGGGGTTTCACCATGTTGACCAGGCTGATCTTGAACTCCTTACCTTAGATGATCCACCCACCTTGGCCTCTGGAAGTGCTAGGATTACAGGCACTGCACCCAGCCTGATGTTTTAATTAGACTCACAAATGTAACTATTAGGAATTCTGTTAAGAGTCTCTCCACCCACATGCTCCACACAGTTGTTAATATGAGCACATTAAACATTATTTGACATTTACTTCTATGTATAACATACAGATAGTAAATGACACACAACCAAGCTCTTGTTTTCCATTGGCACGATAATTTCTACCATATCTAATTAGATCCCATATTTTTTGTGTCTTTAACTACTTCAAAAATGTCAATCAATGAACTAGTTCAGTCACATACCAGTAGAGTAACTCTGAAATCAGTATTGTACAGAAGTCCCTACTGAATATATGGACAGAACCCAGAAGGAAAAAATCAAGACAAAAATATTTCTGACTAAAACATGGGATAATAATGAACATTAAAAAATACTATGGATAGGAAGCTTAACATAAATTTTTTATGATGATTCAAACTTTTCTTGGATGAAATCTGTTTTTTTAATGCCATGCATGCTATTTTCACTTGTGGTTTATACATTCATCTTCTAACTTCCTAAATTTTGTTTCCAGAATATCAAAGTCATAATGATGTTTTAATCTTCAGGACAAATTTCTTATGTAATTATTTCCAAGGGAAATTGTCTCACTTCCTTATTCTTTCGCAATTTTGGCAATCTTTTGTTTTTTTTTTTTTTTCATAATATATGATCATGATGTCATTTATTTAGTGAATCCAACTTCAAGAAAGTTTAGGAAACAATCTTAAGAAAATGAAGAGGCAAAATTATTTATAAAAACACTTTTAAATACAAATAATTGACCATTATTTCACTCCCCCGACCCAAGAAAACAGACCAAAGCTAAAATATTTTATTACTGTCAGTGTCAACTGAATGATTTTAAGTATTTGTACACTGATCATATCATGAGATTATCATACCAGGAACAGAAAAATAAATGATCTAGTATTGCAGAAGAAAGTAGACAGACTAAATAAAGAATTTTACATTAGAAGTTGGATTTGATCCAACTTTATCTCTTCTACTAAGATCACTGTGCCTTATAGGCACAGATTAATTTTAATGGTACCAGAAGAAAGAGAAACTTCCAGACAAGCAGTCTCTGGGAGGCTGAATAGAGAGGCTGACCATGAATCCAGCACCCACCATTCCCTTGGACTGTGGATGTGGACTGATTCAGGAATCTAATGTCACTTTCACACAACTTCATTCTCCCCTCAGAGCCAGAGTCATTACATTGGATGAGATGAGTATAGGGAAATCGGGATAGCAGTTGTGAAGAAGAAGTTCCTAACTCAGTTTGGGGCAGAGCAGGGCTGCCCTCCCTATTCCTGCCTACTATGAGCATGGTCATTTCTCAGGATGGAGCAGTGCCTCAGTTTAGGCTCCTCCAAAATGCAGAGTTTAAGTCATGGGCCTGTCGTGCAGAATATTCCCAATGCAGAGAACTGGAAAACTGGGAAGAACAAAACAGGAAAAGAGGATGTGGACAACTGGAGTTCAATCCTACTGGAGACCATCTGAGAAATGGTGTAGAATTTCTACCAAAAACATGCAAAAGTGGAAAACATTTACCCATTGACTCCAGTTCCTCCTGTGAAAGGGATGTTTCCTGGCAGCAACAGAGAAACACTGGGCCAGAAAGTGAAAGATACCTGATATGGCTGAGGCAAGGAGTTTCCAGGTGGCATCTGCAGGCAGCTAGTGCTGTAGCAGTGACTGGGAAACTGTGGCCTAGGAGATGTAAACCCCCAGATTTGAATGGCTGCCAGTTCTGTGAGGTTCCATGATTACAGGGCAAATGGAATTTAGTCACAAAGCTTCCATTTTTAAATATTCTTCTATTTCTTTAAGAATTGTTGCTTGAATAAGTTTAAAGACTGCATAAAATCCTGGCATTCAACTCTTGAAAAGAAATTAGGCTTGGAGAAACACTTGTTCTAACAAGACAATAAATTTATTTTTGCAGTTAACAGCATTACAAGCTTTATATCTTATTGATACAAGTGGCGTGTTGGGGGAAAAACAACAACAACAACAACAACAACAAAATCCTCTCCTTTATACTTCATTTACAAAAACAAGTGATTTTGATGACATTTTCCTCAGGAGTCAAGTTCTGCATAGCCTGCAAATGTCCACTGCGTATTGACATGCTTCCTTTGCTTTATTCTCTCGGCACTCTCCTTGTGTTTCTAAAACAGTAGAAAAAGGGACAAAGGTGTCAGGTTAAAAGACTGAAATTCCAGATCAGAAAATAAAGAGCCCTGTTAATGTTTCTAGAGAAAGAGGACCCAACACTGAATACCAGAAAGTTCTATAGTATATGAAATGTGATTTATGTGTGATTTGGTGTCCAAATGTCATCAGCAGGCAGCTGTTTGTTCCTTCAGTGGGAATGGTGTTTGCCTACTCCCCAGTGTCATTCACAAAGACAAAACCAGAAACACTGAGCCTGTGAGCCTGCAGGACCCCGCCCCTCCACAGCTTCAGAGTGATAGCCAGTTTCATATTTCTAGATCCAGTCTGAATCCTTCCCACAGGCAGAAGCTCTCCAGGTAATTCTGGAAGTTCCAACATTTCAGAGGCAAGAAGAAAGTTATGCAGGATATGAAAGAAGAGGTCATGTTACAGCCAGGGCTTCCACTGACACACCAGATTCAACTTTTGACACTGATAATCTGTTTCTAGCAGATGGAAAATGTAAACAAGATATTCTGTGTGATTAGAGAATATGCAAAACACGAAACAAGCAGAACATTCTCAGAAATCCGAGATGATGGCTGTACTTTCACAGCGTTGATGTTAGATGTACATGAAATAGGCTAACCCAAAATGACAGAGGCAGAGAGGTTAACATAGAGGACAGTCTATATAGATGAGGACAGTCTATATAGATAGAGGACAGATGAGGGAAAACTAGCCCATCTCCCGGTCCCCTTCAAATCTGATAACTGAGGAGACAAAGCTCTCTTCCTCCAAAGAAGCCTTGCCTTCCCTGCCCTGGTTCTCACGGTTGCCCCATGTCTTTCCTCCAACAATTACCCTGTACTCTGGGGTCATCAGGCACCTGAGGTCCCCCCAGACAGGCGGTATCTCCAGAGAGGTAGACTTACGGCCCCTCCAGGAATTTGGGGCAGAAAGTGAATATCCCAAAGTCCCAGGACCCACAGGAGTTACTTGGAGGGCGACGCGCGGGCGCCACGAGTGGACTCCCCCACTTCACCCGCACCCCAAGCGCTCCACCCGGGGGCGGGGCCTGTGTTTTCCTTCCGGACTCCCGATCGATCAGGAGCTCCGGGAATTTCCCTGGCCAGGGGGCTCCGGGCTTTTCAGCCCGAACCATGCATAAAAAGGGTTCGCCGACCTCGGGGAGTCACAGATCCCGGGCCACAGGCACCTCCCCGCCAGCTCTCCCGTTCCTCGCACCGCCGCCAGACCCGCCTGCTGAGCCCCATGGCCCGCGCCGCGCTCTCCGCCGATTCCAGCAACCCCCGGCTCCTGCGGGCGGCGCTGCTGTTCCTGCTCCTGGTGGCCGCCGGCCGGCGCGCAGCAGGTGAGTCCTGGCGTCCTGGGGACCCCGGGGCGGGACGCGGCAGGGGTGGGCGCCCCCGCCGACGGCCCCGCTCAATCAGTGAGTCCCTTCTTCCCTAGGAGCTCCCCTGGCCAATGAACTGCGCTGCCATTGTCTGCAGACCCTGCAGGGAATTCACCTCAAGAACATCCAAAGTGTGGAAGTGAAGCGGCCGGGACCCCACTGCGACCAAACCGAAGTCATGTAAGTCCCGTCCCGCGCTGCCGCTGCCGCTGCCACCGCCGGGCCCAGACCCTCCTGTTGCCCCAACCCTGTCCCTAGCCCGACCTCCTGCCTCACGGATTCCCTTCTCTCTGCAGAGCCACACTCAAGAATGGGCAGAAAGCTTGTCTGAACCCCGCATCCCCCATTGTTAAGAAAATCATAGAAAAGATTCTGAACAGGTGAGTTACGATTTCCATGTACACAGGGAACTAGAGCCGTTGGTTAGAAAAACTGGCATCTGGCTCTGAAATAGTAAATCAAGAAAACCCAAGGGTTAGCTGAAGGACTGAAAAAAATATTATTTTCGCAAAGTTGCCATGAAGATTATTAATCTACTTTGATGCCTGAGGATATATCAGTATTTCCGTGTCCTTCTAACCCCTACTGAAATAAGTGAAGATAAATGTGCGTTTCTGAAATACTAAGTAGATGTGATAACAATGCTAAAATGCCTCCTGCCTGTTTTGGGAGGAGGTTTACCTAGGTCCCTAACGGGCTTCAGACCCGAAAAATGCAATGTCTGATTTGGGCACTTGGGGCCTTTAGTCTTCTTGATGAAGAGCAGGGACGTTGCAATGACAACCCCAGTGAATTCAAGGCTAGGATGCCTCTCAACATTATTTAATCTCTTTGAATAATGATAGTTATTTGACAGGGTTGTGTGCAACTTAAGGGAGATTATGAATGGATATTTCTAACCCAATTTGACAATCAGTGAGCATTATGTTTTGGCTCTTTCAAACCAATAATCTAGTTGAGTCCACAGCCCCCTCTTTCTTGGAAAAAATAAAAGCATTCAGGAGTGCAAGTTTTCTGCTGTAGAGGGCAGTTGGTACAGCCAGTCCTTCCCTGAGTGGAGGGCTGGGTGGAGAGTAGCATGCGGACATCGCTCCAAGCAAGCTTCAGCCACCAGAGTGACAGAAGAGCCTTCTTAGCACCTGCAACAGTAACCTTTTTCTCATCACAGGGAGAGCACCAAACAGGAGTGAAGTAAGAAGCTCATCAGCTCATCATTGGCACTTCCTGCAGGGTGGTCCCTGCCCTATGAGAGCTGAAAATGAAGAGAACAGCGGTTTTCTTGGGACACCTGGAAAGGACTTAATGTGTTTGACTATTTCTTGAGAGAGTTCTACTTATTTATGTATTTATTTATTTTCGAAAGCTTGTATTTTAATATTTTACATGTTTTTATTTAAAGATGTGAGTGTGTTTCATCAAATATAGCTCTGTCCGGATTATTTAATTGGAATATGATGGGTTTTAAATGCCTCATTAAACTAACATTTAGTGGGAGACCATTATGTGTGAGCCAACTTGATAAATGATATGGTAGGGAATGGGGGGGGGTTGGAATGCAAGCAATTAATGAGGTCACTGTTAGGGTAAGGAATGTATGTGCCCATCCACTTTTTATACTTTTTTGTTTTTTAAAAAATGAATGTCCATTGTTATTTATTGAAATTATCTCACATCATGTGTTCAACATTTTTATGCTGAAGTTTCCCTTGGATATTTTATGTCTTGTGTGTAGGGCATAATGCCTTGTTTAATGTCCATATTGCAATGTTTCTCTTTGCCTTGCAACAGAGAAGTTACCATTACTGTTACATTTTTACAAATGATATGATAATAAAAGTTTTATGAAAAAAATGCTTATGTCGTTTTAAAAAAAAAAATTCTTCTTGATCTTTAGTTCCTCCCAGGCGCCCAAGGTGTTATACTGTGAGACTGCAGGTTCTTTCTAAATCTGTGCCTGCCTCTAGCTGGCACTTCCCTTATATCTCTCTTACTCAGAAAGGTGTATCTGATGCTTTTAGAAAGTACACACTATCCCCCAACCACCTTGATAATTCTAATTTTGAATAACACATAGCTGTTTTTCACACTGATTAATCTATTATTCAAAATTAGTTCTTTACAAACTTTTGAATGTTACTGACACTTTAACATGGGCCTCTGCTAGATGCTTTTGGTAAGCAGTTTTTCCAAACACTTAGGCAATTCTTTCCCGTTTAATGAGATTGGGAGCAAAGTTAGAAAAGTTTCTTCTGCCTTAGAACTAAAAACAAAACCTGTGATATTTTTAAAATGACCTATGGAGATACTGTAAAGTAAAATATATGACAAAAATCGCACAAAAGGCAGGCCGAGAGATAAATAGATTTAGACTATAACATGTCTCTTCAATTGTTAGAGAAAGTATTAAGAAAAAATTGTAGCAAGAACAAATGTTGTACAGGGCAACAACTAAAAGGAAAATGCAAAATTTTGGACTAAATCTGAAAAGGAGATAAAATGGTATAATAGAAAATAGCCAAATAATACAAAAGAAGACAGAAATGAAGGAATAAACCAACACATGAATCAAGGGCAGAAGGGATAAATCTTTACAGTAGAATTGCTAATAATATGAGTATAGTTTCTTCCTTCCTAAAGGTGAAGCTTACTTCCCCTCTCCATGTGAGTGTGGCTAGGCTTAGTGGCTGGTTTCCAAAGAAAAGACTAAGAAAAAGGAAAAACGATTATAGTGGAGAAATGGGGCAGACAATCTTGACCAAGTGATCAAGTATAAGAGGTTCCCTACCTTAACAACCTTATAGTTTATACAGTAATTTGTTTTCTGGTTTTTTTTTTGGATGGAGTCTTGCTCTGCAGCCCCGGCTAGAGTGCAGTGGCACGATCTCTGCTCCTTGTGACTTCTGTCTCCCAGGCGATTCTCCTGCTTCAGCCTTCTGGGGTAGCTAGGATTGCAGGTGCATGCCGCACCTGCCTGTTTCTTGTGATTTTGGTAGAGACTCGGTTTAGCCATGTTGGTTAGGCTGGTTTCAAACTACCGACCTCGTCATCTGCCTCCCTCAGCCTCTCAGGATGCTGGGAGTGCAAGTGTGAGCCTCTGCACTGACCTTTTTTCTTTTTTTTTTTAAATCTTTTTACTTTTTTCTAGAAGTGATTCATAATTACTGCGACTGTATAAGGAGTCAGAGCTTTGCTTTAGAATGATTATTTGCATTCAAGGGTTATGTAAACAAACCTAGTAGTTTGTTGAAATTCTACCTACTCCCTACCTGGGGGAACCAGTAAAATTGAGAATTTTTGTTTCTTTCTTAGAGATTGACTGCTTGGAGCTATATGAATGCTCCAGGTGGTCAACCTCTGGGAAAGAAATGGAAATTCAATTTAAGGTCAAAATACTTCAATATAAGGTCTTTTAAAACTTAAGTGATAACCACTGCTTGAAAATAATAACAACAACAGCAATTGCCAGCATTTCTATGGCAGAGAGTACTCTTCTAAGCATTTTACGTATATTGATTCATTTAATGTTTCTAATGACCTTATGAGGAGATACTAGTATTATCCCCAAAACAAACAAACAAAAAAACTGGCGATAACCAGTTATAGCATGTGAATATTATGCACCCCCTGACACAATGTGATGGAAAGACACTTCCACTCCATTTATATTCTTCCAGAAAATCCATAACCTTTGTATACACATAACAAGGACATCATAAAAACCTAAACTAAGGGACATTTTACAAAACTCCTCATAAGTACTCTTCAACATTGTCAAGGTCATACAAAACAAGACAAAACCAAGTTATTTTTACAGATTAGAGGAGATAAAAGAGATATGAGGACTAAATACAATGTAGTAAGTTGAACTGGATCCTAGGATAGAAAAAAAATCATTGGAAAATTTATGAAATCTGAATAAAAACAAGAGTTTAGTTAGCAGCAATGTACCAATGTCAATTTTTTAGTTTTAACAAGTGTACTACAATTGCATAAGATGTCAGCATTAGGGGACACTGAGCTAAAGATCAGATATAGAAACTCCCTGTACCCACACAAATGTGCTGTGAATCTAAAATTATTCAAATTTAAAAGTTTATTTTTCAAAAGAAATATAATTGCAAGATAGTAGACTTAGATACGACTATATTAAGAATTACAGTAAATTTAAACAGAATAAACACTCCAGCTAAAAGTCAAAGATTATCAGACTACATAAACTTAACATGTTTATGCTTCTTGAAAGAGATATACCTTAAATCATATCTGGATAGGAGGAATAAGTTCTAATGTTCTATACCACTTTAGGATGACCATAGTTAAAAGTAATATATAGTTTCATACAACTAAAAGGATATCAAATGTTCCCACACAAAGAAATGGTAAGTATTTGAAATGATGGATATGCTAATTACCCCAATCTGATCACTGTACATTATATATATTGAAGCATTACTATGTATCTCACCAATATGTACAGTAATTATGTGTCAATTTTTATATTTAAATATAAAACATTTATAAATAAAAGTAAAAGTAAAAACAAATTCAGCACCAGGTAGCTTGAAATTAAAAGAATTAATAGTGTTATATTACATAAAAATGGGCTGACATTGATATATTAATATATTGAAACCTGACATGTATATATTAATATATTTATTACTGAATAACTATTAATATGTTATTCATATAAATTATTAGTATATTTATTAAGAAGTGATATGCTAATGAAGGCCTAATTACTATATTATGCCTTAAGGAAAGAAGTAGTCTTGGAAATAAAGAAAGACTGATTAGAAATAAAAAGGGGTCAACTTAACAAGAGACAAAACATTCCTAAGCTCTTATGGACTTAAAAACGCATTATCAAAATATTTAAACTACTCATGAAGCTGAGGTGGGAGAATCAACTGAGCCCAGGAGTTTGAGGCTGCAGTGAGCTATGATCATGCCACTGCACTCCAACCTGGGTGACAGAGCAAGACCCTGTCTCTAAAAGAAACACACACACACACACACACACACACACATATCAAAATGAAGAGATTTAAAAAGAGCAATAGACAGATATATAATCATAGTTACAGATTCTAACAAACTCTTTCAATACTTTTATGTAAATCAGTACAAATTCATTAACAATATAAAAGAGTTAAGCAACATAATCAACCAACTTGGTTTGACTGACATATATTGACAATTTACCCAGCAATTGCTTAAATCACATTTGTCTTTCCAAAGAGAACATAGATGAGTCATAAAGAATGTATCAATACATTTCAAATGTTAAAACATCACAGAGGACATTTTCTGATCATCAAAGTTTTTTTATGATGATTTGCAACTTTCCTAGTTGAACTATGTATTCATCCACTTGCGTGATATGTTTGCTGTGATTTATAACTCATCTCTCAACTTCCTACATTGTACTTTCATAATACTAGAGTCATCATGATGTTTTTATGCACAGTATATCCATCTAGTATCATAAAAATATCTCCATAGAGATGTTTGCTTATTTTCTGCATTTTTTTTCTGACATACTCTTTTGTAATTTTGGCATTCCTGTAGTTCTTAGATCACATACTTTTTTATAATTGACATTAACATAAAGTAATTTAATCACTCAATATTTTTCATGAAAGTTTAAACAACAATCTTAAGAAAAGTCAAATATAAAGTTTATACTAAGAGCAATTTTTTAAGTTTTGGAATGATCACATCTACATATTAAATGATGTTTGGTGTTAGCTCAAATAAACTTAAATAATTACAGATTGTTGAAATGATCGAGATGTCTTTATTACAGAATTAGAAGACTAACAGCGTTGCAGAAGGAAGTGTCAAGTTAAGTAGCAAAACAAATTTTCATGTTTGGAATTTTGGCTTTATCCACTATCTTTTACAAAACTGATCACAATCCCTTTTGTGTTGTATGCATCTAATAAATGTCTTTTGAATTTAGTATCCAACATCCCTCATTTTCCACAGATACCTTGAACCTGTAGGTTACTCTTGTCTTCCCACTCTCCCTATGGTAAATAATCAACAAAGAAATCTGTCCACAAGGGACATGGAAACACCATGAGACACATGTAAATGCTTCACAGTGATGCTAACATTCAAACAGACAGAAAAGCAGGATGCTACAGGCACATGGCCTCCCATGTGGAGTCCTGATCTCCCCTCCTGCCTCATTACTTCCCTCTCCCTGCCCACAGGATGAACTCCACCTACTTGAGTCACTTGCTGCTTCCAGGACTTCCATGCACTTTCCAATTTTCATGCCTTTGCTTACTTGGTTGTCTCCTATGGAGCATTTTCCATCTCTCAGTTGTTGCCCATCTACTTGGAAAACAACCTATCATTCTTTAAAACTCACATATGTAACCACTTCTTGTAGGAAAACCTCTGTAACACCTTTCACAAACCTACTGATTAACCCATAAGAATTGTATGAGATACCCCCTCCTTGATCCTAATACTTTGTGCATAGTTTG